AACGTGGGTGTCGACGAATTCCACCTGGGGCACTTCGACAGTCTTCTGAACCTTCTGGATGACAGGCACCTCCACCTGCCTGTGCACAGGAACCTCCATTATCCTGTCCACGAACTCCACCTGCGGCACATCGACGAATTTCTGGGCGACGGTGTGTATCGGCACGTGCCGATGCTTCTGGACGGGGACGTGAATGTGGGCGTCGATGAATTCCACCTGTGGTACTTCGACAGTCTTCTGTACCTTCTGGACCGTGGGCACGTGCCGCTGCTTCATGACTGGGACGTCAACAATCTCATCAACAAACTGGACCTGGGGCACGTCCACGTGCCTCTCTACAACCTTTTGGATGGGCACCTGCTGCTTCTGAATCTTGGCAACCTGCCTGATCTGCTCCTGGATGATCGGCTTCTTCTTCTGCACGATCTTCTTCTGGATCATCGGCTTCACCACGTGGATCTCCTGGATCTGGTGCTGCACCGTGGTGTTCACCATCGTGTTCTGCTGCTTCCTCACCTTCGTGACCCGCTCCTCGGCCCGCGCCGGTCTTGACCCGCCAAAACACGGGGGGTGCAGAAGACAGCCGCACGAACGGGCCCACGGGAGACCGGAGCGAGGGGCCGCGGGCCACATTCTCTTGAAGGGGCCCAGGGACACACGAATAAATACACGCAGATCCCAAGATCCCCCACACACACATTTTTCCCATGCTTTTTCTGGGCTTTCGTCTTCCCCCCCCCCCTTTCCCATGCTTTCCCATACATTTTCCTGGGGGTCGACGATTCCGTGTGACTGTATGTTCCTTGCCCTCCTGTTATATTGTTCCCATCGTACTTAAGGTCCACATCCCAGGAATGACTTCGAGCACCCGGAAAAGTGTCGAAAGAGTGTCGAAACAGTGTCGGACGAGCGTCTCCCAGGGCCCGACGCGTGAAAGCCCTGGAATTTCGGTAACTTTTTCTGGTGCTCGAATTTTTTTCTGGCAGTCAAAACTACAGTACAGTCGGGGCGTTGACCTCAGGAACCCTAAATAAGGAACGAGGCCCTTTTTTCCATAAGTTAACCTTCGATTTCCTGTCGAAAACATAAGGAAAGCCTGAGGCAAGCTGTGAAACACTCAAGCAACGCGGAGCCCCTTCCCAACGAAAAGGGTTCCTTCTTCAGGGCCCCGACTGTAGGCTGGAACACCATCACCCTCCTGATCCCGCAAGGGCACCAGGGGCCGCCGGGCCACGAGAGAGAGGCCGCGTGCCGCGGCCGCCCGCAACCCGTGGTGCGCCTCCGTGGAGCCGGGCGCGGCAGCACAGAGTCTGCGCGGCGCAGGCTTGCCGCCGCGCACCTCGCACACGACACCGACCACCTCCTCCTCCTGCTCCCTCCCCCTCCCTCCTCCTCCCTCCCCCTCCCTCCTCCTCCCTCCTCCTCCTCCTCCTCCTCCTCCTCCTCCTCCTCCTCCCCTCCCTCGTTCCTCCTCCTCCTCCTCCCTCCTCCTCCTCCTCCTCCTCCTCCTCCTCCTCCTCCTCCTCCTCCTCCTCCTCCTCCTCCGCCTCACGCCTCCTCCTCCTCCTCCTCCTCCTCCTCCTCCTCCTCCTCCTCCTCCTCCTCCTCCTCCTCCTCCGTGCAGTGTGCCGCGCACCGGCACCGCACGGCCTGCACCCGACGCAGCTCGGCCCTGGCCCGCCAGAGGGCGGCGGGGGTGCAGGAGACAGCCGCGCGAGAGTGGGCCCACGGGAGACCGAGCGAGGGGCCGCGGGCCACACCGTGTGGGGCACGAGGCAGCCGGGCCACGAGCAAGGCAGCTGGGCCACGGGCCGCCCGTGCCTCGCGGGCGCCTATAGGCGAGGAGCCGGCACGGCGGCCGGCCGGGCGCCTCCGCGAGGAGACAGCCGCGCGAGTGGGCCCACGGGAGACCGGAGCGAGGGGCCGCGGGCCTTGAGCAGGGACCGACCGTCCCAGCATTCCGATAGTCCTACCACGAGATGTTCTCAGAACCCACGAATTTTCTGAGCGCAAGAACAATGTTCTTAGAACATAGGCCCGATGTGTTGAAACAAAGCAGTCCTGGCCAGAAATGTTCTAAGAGCACTTCGTGGCATCCACAAAAGGTTCTTAGAACATTGTTTGGTAGGCCTATAGGCACGCCAGGACGCTTCGCCACTGCTAGAGGGCCACATCCTGTGGGGCACGAGGCAGCCCGGCCACGAGCGAGGCAGCCGGGGCCACGGGCCGCCCGTGCCTCGCGGGCGCCTCCGCGAGGAGCCCGGCCGAGCGGCAGCGGAGATGTCTTGCCCTGCGCAAGCCTGCCACCACACGGCGTACTCCTGCTTTTTTTGAAATTCCCGTCTTGCACAACTCACTGCCGCGCGATGTCGCAGAAAGTGAGCAATAATACAAACGCTCACAAGCCTATGGGGCCACGAAGCGCTGCACTGGGCGGGGGGGAACGCTGTACTGTGGGTGGTGTGCCGAATTTGGTTTCCGGGACGCATGCGGACGGTCCCCCTGGGGGCTTCGGTGGAGCCCCCTATGGGGCCACGAAACGCTGCACTGCGCAGATGAAAATACCAAACCCCATTTCCAGGACGCATACGGACGGTGGCACTGGGGCCTTGGGTGGAGCCCCCTTATAATATGGGGCGACGAAACGCTGCACTGGGTGGGTGAAAATGCAAAATTGAGTTTCCGGGACGCAAGCTGACGGGGGCACTGGGGCCTTCGGTGGAGCTCCCTATGGGGCCACGAAGCGCTGTACTGGGTGTGCGGGACGCATGCGGACGGTAGCGCTGGAACCTTCGGGGGGGCTCCCTATGGGGCCACGAAGCGCTGTACTGGGTGTGCGGGACGCATGCGGACGATAGCACTGGGACCTTCGGTGGGGCTCCCTATGGGGCCACGAAACGCTGTACTGCATGGGCGAAACGCAGGGAGGAGGGGGAAGGAGGGCCACGAAACGCTGTACTGGGTGTGCGGGACGCATGCGGACGGTAGCGCTGGGACCTTCGGCGGAACTCCCTATGGGGCCACGAAGCGCTGTTCTGGGCGTGCGAGACGCATGCGGACGGTAGCACTGGGACCTTCGGTGGGGCTCCATATGGGGCCACGAAACGCTGTACTGGGTGGGGGGAACGCAGGGAGGAGCGGGAGGAGGGCCACGACACGCTGTACTGAGCGTGCGGGACGCATGCAGACGGCAGCACTGGGACCTTCGGTGGAGCTCCCTATGGGGCCACGAAGCGCTCTACTGGGCGCGCGGGACGCATGCGGACGACAGCACTGGGACCTTCGGTGGGGCTCCCTATGGGGCCACGAAACGTTGTACTGGGTGGGTGAAACGCAGGGAGGAGGGGGAGGAGGGCCACGAAACGCTGTACTGGGTGTGCGGGCCGCATGCGGACGGTAGCACTGGGACCTTCGGTGGAGCTCCCTCTGGGGCCACGAAAACGCTGTACTGGGTGTGCGGGACGCATGCGGACGATAGCACTGGGACCTTCGGTGGGGCTCCCTATGGGGCCACGAAACGCTGTACTGGGTGGGGGAAACGCAGGGAGGAGCGGGAAGGAGGGCCACGAAACGCTGTACTGGGTGTGCGGGACGCATGCGGACGGTAGCACTGGGACCTTCGGTGAAGCTCCCTATGGGGCCACGACGCGCTGTACTGGGTGGGTGAAACGCAGGGAGGAGGGGGAGGAGGGCCACGAAACGCTGTACTGGGTGTGCGGGCCGCATGCGGACGGTAGCACTGGGACCTTCGGTGGAGCTCCCTCTGGGGCCACGAAACGCTCTACTGGGTGTGCGGGACGCATGCGGACGGTAGCACTGGGACCTTCGGTGGGGCTCCCTATGGGGCCACGAAACGCTGTAATGGGTGGGGAGGGGAGGAGGGCCACGAAACGCTGTACTGGGTGTGCGGGACGCATGCGGACGGTGGAGTGGAGGAGGGGGCAGAGGAGGAGGGGAGAACGCGGGGACCGTCTCTTCACAACGAGGACCCAACACCACAGGATGGTTGGGAAAAAACAACAACAAAACCACTTTCCGACCTGAAAGGCAAACAACTTACAGCATCGAATATCACATGCGCTGTGCCGCGCACCTGCACCACAGCGCCTGCAGCGCAAGGCCTGCACAGCGCGGCTCACACCAGCGGACAGCTTGCACCGCACAGCGAGGACCGCACTGCCTGCACAGCATAGCTTACACCACACGGGTTGCATGCCACACCTCGCACCAGATAGCCTGCACCACACAGCCGAGTGCACACACCCATCGCGAAATGGCTTAGTCTGTGGGGGCGGGCGCGGGGCTCGCACGGTGCTGCTTCGGCAAGGGATTACCCGATACTCACTTCTTAGTCCGAAGCACGTGCACCGCACACTGATATGCCAAAGGGCTGAGGGAACACTAATAATTACTGGGCATTGCTGATGAATGGCCGTGCTAAACACATACGGTCGGAAATGACATGAACCCGCTGAAGGGGGGGAATCAAGTCCTGCCTCCGTGAGGCATGATAAAAACATCACACGGGGAGCGGAAAACGATGTGAAGCGCAACCCCATGCAGCGCACTCTGCGCGGAGCAACATCTGAGGCGCAGACGATTGGGCGCAAGACAGGAGCACGCGCCCTGCACCGCGAGACCCGCGCAAGAGTCGCCCACGAGGTGCTGACGGGCGGGGACCCGGAGGAGGCCCGCAAACGCCGGCCCACCCACGGGGCGCTCACGGGGGAGCGCCCACGGGCCGGCACCCCGCGAGCATCCCCCGGACGTGCCCGTCCGCGACGCGCGGCAGGACCACGGGGCACGCCCACGGGAGGCACCCAGGCCGAAAGCCTGGGGAGCGCCAGCCAGCACAGGGCGCCCACCAGGCGCCCACGGGCGGGCGCCCGGCGAGCAACAGTCCAGGAAAACCTCGTCCCCCTCCTCCTCCTCCCCCTCCTCCTCCTCCTCCTCCTCCTCCTCCTCCTCCTCCTCCTCCTCCTCCTCGTCCTCGTCCTCCT